GTCTTTCGAACGTAAACGCCTCGACCTGTGCTCTTAGCTTGTGCAGTTCTTCAGAGCGTGTTTTTTTCAATTTCTTTGATGCTTGTTATTGTGCGTTCGTTTTCGGCTATCGTTTCGAGATCATTTTTACGAAGGAGGTAGACGATGGCAGTGTGGGTTTTTTTAAATTTGGATTTAGGTGTCAATTTTTTTCCTTCGGCCAAAAACCAGGATATGATTTCGTTGTTTTTCCATTTAAGGTTTAATCCTTTATCGTTTAAACGAAGGAGGATGTTTTTTATTTTTAAGGCTTGAATTTCCATGATCTCCTGATCTACACTGCCGCTGTATTTCCCTCAATAAGTAAATGGAACGAACTTACCACAGCAGTTGTAGACAGGGAAGAAGGAGCTCAAACCTCTCAAACCTCATGAGAATCAAACTGAAATTCGCGCCGGAAAGACGTCTCTCGCCTAAGTAGGGAGATCACGGAGGCTGGTCACCACTGTAAGGTCCGCCCACTGGTCCAACGACGGTAGCCAGTGATCCGGTAGAAGGATTCTCGCGTGTTGCTGTCTTTCCTTTTATACAGCACAACAATATTAAATTAAATACATTTTCTTGTGTTTTACCTCTTTTATTCATCTGACTCCAAAAATGAAAAGGGTTAAGAGAGTTGTTTGTTACTCATTAAATTTAGGTGAGTGTTTGATCATTCCGTTTTACCCATGATTTTTATTTATTCGTTCATTAGGAATCTATGTCGCTTAGGATGCCTCACGGCGGCCGCTATGCGTGGGCTCCACGATCACAAACTCGCCAGTTTGATCCTTATTCAGAGGTTTGTGGCTAATACTATTTACTTTAAATAGTAGGTTTGTTTAGCCCCCTACAATTACCCATGTAATGCTCAAACAACAATTAGCGGTTCTTCTAAACCCTTAGTCTAGACCCCGATAGTTATTATAACCACGTACAACTTAATTAACACTCCAAATATTAATCAGCGGTTCTTCTAGACCCTTAGTCTAGACCCCGATAGTTATTATAACCACGTACAACTTAATTAAAGCTGAAATCATACACATGGTTAACGTAACTGAGTACAACTTAAACTAAGGTCAAGCGGTTAGTCAGAAACCTATAATCTCACCTGATGTGCCCATGCTCCATCTAACCTGAGATTTAGTATGCACTTAACCCTGGTCGCAGATTTGCGGAAACATACGCCTTCACTTAATCTACTTGAAAAAATAACTTCAGAGTAATCAGAATGAATTCAAACATAACAATTTATTAATCAGGTAATCAACGTAATAATTCAAAGTCCAATCAAACAATAGCAAATAATTAATCAATCATACAAAACAGTCAGTAATACCGAAATGAGAGAATATATAAATGTTACCTGATAATGAGGACTACGCACAACAGATGTGCGGGAGATCTGCCTACAGATTCCCTGAGCTTTTTGTCACTCTCCCTTAAATATCCACAAGAACCCCATAGATACCAAATGGTATTGTCTGTTTATTGCAGCGTTTTAGCATATCTCTTTAGGGGGTTTCAAGTGAATTATCTTGATTTCTGTGGGAGGCTGTACCTCATTTACATACAGAAGGTATTTTGTGTGAAAGACCTGGGAGTAGTCTGTTTTCAATATTTATGGCTACCTGTTCTATTGTTAAGAGAATGAGACCCCTTTACCAGACACACAGAGACCTTTCAAACGACATCAAACATGAATTGTTGCATTGTTACAAACTCTGATTAAGAAAAGTGGTTTTGGTGATCTCTGCAGTGTCCTGTGTTCAGATGGAAATGAGGGGAGAGAGGGGAAGAGTGAAGGTGTGGAGCTTTTGTTTCTCTCAGTTGGGTGTATTGCTTTAGGCTTGCGAGACAGAGTTCAGATGTTGATTCTCGTGAGAGTTCCTTGTTTTTTCAGACTGTGACCTTCTTCTGAACCAGCCAAATGGCATCAATAATCTTACAGTTAAATCTCCCTTTGGCCCCGTGGGCTATTCATAGGGGCTCCTGCGGGGACATAACTGTTTGCTCTTTTGCTGGATTTTTTTCTATCGTCAGACTTTCTGTAGTGCTGGCACCTGTAACTGGCTGAGGACCAGGGCCATGTTGGTCGATGTCTTTAGAGATCTGATGAGGTATCTGAAATAACAGCACTGGAACAACGTGAAGGCGAAGATGAGGGCACTGCCAACGGCGCACCCACGGAGTATCCAGTCCCACCATGTGTAGGCACTCAGGGCTGAACGGGTAGATGAGCTGGACAGGATTTTTGCAGTTTTTTGAGCCAGGTTCGTCTCTACCTGTGCTTGTGAAAGGTGGTATTCAGTCTGTGAGATGATTCTCTGCACCAAATCCATCGTGTCAACCAGGGCCTGTGTTCCTTGTTCATAGAAGGTGTCATCCCACCATGGGGAAATTTCTGCATCCAGTGGCATCCTTCCAAGGATGTTAATCTGGCCCATTGAGAAATCCTCAGTTGCCTCTAAACAAAACGAGTGGTTAGTAGGACAGGTCAGTCCTCCATACGTGAAGGAATTCATCTCACTGACGACACACCACTGCGTGTGAGACACCTGAATAGCATCAGAGTGACCGTGTAACGATTGAACATTTATAAGCTTGCTGTCATTGGAGGAAAAAGGTTGTAACGTGTTACATGTACATACAACATAGTTGTGGGTCTCATGACAACAAGTGCGACTGGTAAACAAGGTCTCAGTACCCTTTAAGGTCATGTATCCGGTAAGATGATCCCATTTAATTACCTGGTCTTTCACTACCATGCCAATCGATCGAATAGTGGTAGAATTTGGATAGACTTGATCTGGATGTATCAAGGGAAAGGTGACAAAAAATCCAAGGCATCCATTACATTCATTACCAGTGTACATCATAACGGTTGATAATAATTCAGAATATTTCACATTTTTCATTTTTTCTGATGAAAGCCA